TATATGTATGTATGTATGTGCATCTGAACAATACACTGTTATCTGTATGTGCACCTGGACAGTACACAGATGTCTTTGCGTCAGGACAATACACTGATATCTGTATGAGCATCAGGATAATACACAGCTTTCTTTCCCCCGGGATAATTCACTGATATCTTTGCCTCAAGAAAAAAAAATCAGAAATTTTTGCCTCAGGACAATACACTGATATCTTTGCCTCAGGATAATACTCTGAAGTTTTTGCATCAGAACAATACACATAAGTTTTTGCATCAGGAAAATATATGTGTACTCTGATATTTGAATGTCATCCGGACAATACTCTGATATGTTTGCCCCTGGACAATACATTTATGCTTTGGGAAATTGGATGACTAGTACGGCCTGTGTCAGTGCATAAAACTCGTGTCTGAAGTCGCTGTGGGACGTTTTGAGACATCTGTGTGACGTAAGCAAAGAATGCGAAGTAACTGAAAATTACACTGATTAAGAATTTTAGCAATGATGATAATATAATCAAATTATATTATCTACGGGGGTATATTTGTAAAGATGGAAGACTGGTGGGTTCATTTCCCGGGAGGCGATGGGTGATTCTTGATTTGAAAAAAAATTGAAGCTTTATTCATCTTTTTTATATATACATTCTTTTTAATTTGAGGGGAAAAGGAGGGGGGTGGGGAGGAGGACTTTTGTTGTTCTTTTTCTTTGTATGTGTTTCAAATGTCCCACTTTTAAACAGTAATATTACATGTACTCACAAAGATAACCATGGAATTCAAAGTAAATTGCTCCGGAAACATGAAAGAAGAAGCGTTCACGTTACAGCAGAAAAAAGGAAAGTTCTAGATCCTATCTTGAAAATGTACACTTAAGTGGAAAGTTCTCTCAAGCGTTCGTGAGTGTGCGAGCACTAAAACTTGATGATTCGTTGCTGCGCCCACATGCGCCTGAGGTAACAAACCAAAGACAATGTCATTGAAGACAAAGCGAGCACGTGAGGCTGTCAGAATGCTTTTAGATCAGTGCTTGTCACCATTTTCATAGTCAGTGCCTATTATTGCTACTTTAGAGGCTGAGATTTTTGTAGGCTACTGCTCTCACATATGTACTTCTAAGCATGGCATAAAACAATACCTGCCCTTGTCCGAGTGGTCCCCAGCGCTCATACAAATTACTCTCAAAATCGTCCACTAATGGGCGATACTCCGCAGACTGGCGAGCACTGTTTTATATCAAGATTCCTGGGTCAGAGACGAAAGTGTGATTTGTACCTCACTTGCACTTTTTTTTTGTCACGCACGTTCATGAAAACTGGGTTGTTGTTGTTGTTGTTGTTGTTGTTGTTGTTGTTGTTTGTTGCTGTTGTTGTTTGCCGTTGTTTGTCGTTGCTGATTATAGTTTATGACGAGTAAGTGTGAGTAAGACGACAGCAGCTTATCTTTACGATCTATGAGCAGACTTGCTTGCAATGGGGCAAGCAATGGAGCATGTAGATCTATTTCAGTTACTGCGGAAAGCTGTTAATGTTATAAAAATACTTTTTGTAATTAGTTTAGAGTATGAAAACAACACCTGGTTTTGTTTTGGTTTAATGATTCCAGTTTAGGAAATGGGCACACAGAACTGACTATTGAGTTGGGTCCGTTACCTGAACTGGTATACAGAACTTATCCCGTCAGTGGGCCGGTAACAAACGGCAATAGTGGGGCAGTTTGATAGTCACACGGGTTGGGTCGGTCGCCTAGTGGTTGCGGGTTCGGGGATTCGAGCCTCAGCTCGATCCGACGAGTGTCCTTAAGAAGGGCATTTTACACGTCCCATTTGGCTCGGTCCTTTCAGAGATGGGCGTTTACTTCCGTTTAGCAAGGGGGTCCCGCCTCTTAAATTAAATAACCTAATAGTGTTGATACTGGAATTAAACCTATACCATTTCACAATTTTCACACGTGTTGGAGTAGCGTTCTGTAGTTGTTGGGTTGTTTTTTTATTGAGTTATTTCAAGTCACTTCCCGAGGGGTTTTCCAATGAAGCTGGAAATAATATTCCCAAACTTTCTCATACAACACCGCTCTTACCAGCTTTTTAAAAACTTTTTTTTAAAAAGTGGAGCGAGAAAGGGGGGGGGGGCAAAATG